CCCTTCTCAGAAAGCCAAATAAACAGGGTCTTTGATGTGCGGCGGCCGCCTGCGAGAAATCTGAGGAACTCTGGCTTGGCGGGCAGCGCAGATGGAAGGGCCCTGCTACCCGCGGACAAGGGTTCAGCTCAACGGCTGGCCCCACCGGGGTCTACTTCCCCGTGGGGACAGCTACGCCTTCGTCGCAGCCTTGCCAGGCGGGCTCCTCACTGCGCTCCCGGGCCGGGGGAGCGTAGAAGGGTCCGGGGTCTGGACCCTGCCTGACCGAGGCCCAGGAGCTCCGAGTTCCGACCGGGTTTACTCGGCCTGTTCGTGGCAGTTGTCATCGGCGGAAGCCTGTGTGTGTCTCGATCGCCAGCCCCGACGCCCCCAGGGATGCAGACTCTACCCCTTCCCCCCGTCCCCAGCACCGCGCCTCCTAGACTCTGCGCGGCCGCGCAGCCCACTCGACAGCGGGGCCAGTTTGCCCGCAAACCGATAGCCTCGATCTCCTCCTCTCGGGGTTACGTGAGGGCAGACGGGTCAGGGGGAAGCAGCCCTCGGAGCGGGCCCCCCCGGGCGTGCGGCCCAGGTGGGCCCCTGGGTCGCTCCCCAGCATCTCCGCGAACCCGCACGCACCCCGGGGTCCGCGACGGGAACGCGCGAGCCGGCTGCGCGCCCCTGGATCTATATTTTCCCCTCATTAGGAGCTGAAGGTTCGCTTTTGCATCTTAATGAGGCGCTGAGAGCGAGCGGACGCTCGGAGGCCGGTGCGCAGGGAGTTACACGTGAGCGCCCGCCTCAGAATTGAACCTCCCAGCGCCCGCTCCGGCCGCCAGCCCCGACCATCGCTCCTCTCTTCATTTATTTATTCTCCTAAATAAAAACATAAATCGTGCGCAGAGCGCACCAAAGACGGGGGTAGAGAGAAGCACGGCTAGACAGATGCGAGCACCTGGCCGCAGCATTCATTAGACACAAAATGGCTCCTCTTCGGAGCTTCCTTTCCCCTCCCTCTTCTCTGCCCTCCCCCTTACGTCACGGGTGGGCGCACCAGCTTCCTACCGGCCCCGCCCCTTTCTCGCTCCTGCCCCCACGTGGGGGGCGCCGGCCACACCCCCGATCAAGGCCCAGAAGACCAATCAAAGGCCGCCGAGAGGTCTTGCCGTAACTGATTGGTGGGACTGCCGAGAGCTGTCAGTCCTCAGCCAGGGCTGTCAGTCAAAACCACGCGGGGTGGGGGAGCGCTGACAAATGCCGAGGCTTCTGAGCCTCCCGCTTGCAAATAGTGCTTGGAATGGCTGCTTAATTAGCTTTGAATGGCTTTTCCTTCCAGCTCAAACAATCTGTCACTACCATGTGGTATAAAGGAGCCATGCATAAAAAAGTAAGCAGAGGCTAAATATCAATTTGATTTTGTGTATCAAAGGAATATTTTATTTTTCTCCCTAGTAATGAAACGTATCAATTTAAATAATAAAAGGTAAAAACACACACACACAAACTAAGGAAAAAAAAAAAAACGAGGAAGAAGAAGAAAGGAAAGAAAGAAAAAAGAAAAGAAAAAGAAAACCCAAATTCCACAGTGTTCCGACTTCTGCGCACGCCTGAAACAGGTAATTTCTACGGTCCACGTTCAGGAGGAAGCCTGAAAATTACCCCCTCCCCCCCCCTTAAACTTGTATTTAGTGTTTTGTAGTTGTCGTCGTCCAGAGGTCTAGAAGGAGTGATGGGGGAGGGGTGGCCTGTAAAAGGGGAGATGGGGGCGGGAAGGGAGGCGAACTTTAAAAGGAACTCTTTGAAGCTGCTAATCAAAGTGGAGGGGCTTTTAAGACCCCATAAACTGGAGGTCTTACAGCAGGTCTCGATTTGGGAGCCGAGAGCAGAGGGGGAAGAAAGCGGGTGTGTCTCGCCCGGATTTATTAAATACAATGCCTTCAAGATGCCCGGGAAGCGGCGCCTGCCCGGGCCTCCCTCTCCTCGTCTCCCTCGGGACTGGCTCCGACGGCGCCCGCCAGCAGGCGGCCAAGGAGCCCCTGGGCCCCCAGGTCGGGTCTACGCCGACTGTGTACAGAAAAACACAGCAGCTCTGCCTCCGGTCTGGGCGTCTCTCCTGCCCCGACGTCCGCTCTCCAGGGGACCCCAAGGGCTAGAGCGCAACTGCAGGGCCGAACCAGGTCGCGTTCACCTGTGAGCCCCTAGCCCCAGCGCCGGCGCCGGGTCTGGCACACAAAAGCGGTCCTCAGCTGCGTGTGACGGATGCGGTTTTGCAGAGCATCTCCTCCTCGGCAGAGCGGGGCTGGAGACCCAAGCTACGCAGTCAGGAAGGACAGCGCTTCAGCGCTTACTAGGTACAAGACAGGGCACTTGTACCCCGGCAGCACTCTAAATCCTCACCGTACTCCCGAGGGAAGCGGCCTGGCTGCTGGCCCCATTTTATAGAGTGAAAAAGAAAGGCTGAGAAAGCTCGGTAATTTTTCTCAAGCTGGACATAGGGGTCGGGATTCGAATCCAGGGTCGTTGGCTCGACAGCGTCCCCTTGGCTCAGGCAAGCTGGATTGGTGCGAGCATTTGCTGAAGGGAACACATTCATTTATTTATTCTCATTCATTCACTCATTCATTCATTACCAGCCTTTTCTGAGGGTCTGGCTGCGGGGTCACAGGCCCAGCTCTCCCTCCTCGGCTCCCATTCACTCGGCACCGAGCGGCACGCCCAGCTCTCCCAGGCCGCCTGAACTCTTGAGCAGGAAGGGGGCAGGGGAGGTAGAAAAAACCAGGCCAGCATCTCTTTAAGCTCACCGCCGCTCTATCCCCCACCCCCGTGCCACTCCACAAATTAGGAAAAACAAGGAGAAAAATATATTTCTTTTATGCTCGAGAAAGAGAAAAGAAAATAAAAAACATGTATACAACACCCTGTCCAAAGCGCTTGACAATTATTTTAAAGAAGGGGAGTAGAGAGTGAGTTCAAACGTCTCTGTCTCCAGTTCTAATTGGAAACGTTTCAACTGTTTATGTTACAAGAAGTGTCAGGGTCATTTGCTACCGGAGAGCTGACTTTTCATTGGCTGCTTAATTGAGTACCTCGGAGTACACCCCACGTGGGAGAGGAATTCCTGGCACATTTAAAAAAAAAAAAAAAAAAAAAAAAAAAAACACCCGGGGGGGAAAAAAACC